TATTTCTTAATAAATAATAGTATTAAATCATCCACTCGAGTCTCTATTAACAAATTAGCAAAGTGGTTATGCTATAAATGGTGACCCCGACGTGATGGAAGTGGATTAAGAAATTTGGTTTGACTCGTTCGACACAACGCCCACACGTGTAGCGAAACGCCAAAGTATCATCGCGATTTTTACTGCATTTACACGAACAACACAGCAAAGGACCACAAAATTGTACAAGAGTCAAAGTCAAGGGTGCTCCGTGCTAACGTGGTGTTCCAGCTCGCACTAGCGCGATATGCCGTTGGACCATACACCGACCAAGCTATCAGACAGCCACGCGTCTGCTTCATTGGGTAAAACGTTGTTGGACGTTTCTCCACCGCCTGAAACGAACATGAGCACTATCCACGGTCAATCGACAAGCCAAGCAGCTGCACCCACGGCACCAGCCGCTGTAGAAGCTGTGTCCAGCTACAAGATACCACCGTTCTGGAAAACCCAACCCAGACTATGGTTCATCCAAGCCGAAGCCGTGTTTCACAGCAACCGTATCGCATCGGATCTGGCCAAGTACAACCAAGTCGTTAGCGCTCTGGATACGGACTCCATACTGCAGATGGCCGATTTCCTACACAATCCGCCTGATAATGATAAGTATGCTAAATTCAAAGACGAAATAATAAAACGATTCACCGAATCCACAGATCGTCAACTGCATCGAGCCCTCACTGAAATACAGTTGGAGGACAAGAAGCCCAGTCAGCTTTTACGTCAGCTAAAAATCCTCACAGGCAGCTCTGCAACAGGAGACGTACTCCGAGTCAGGTGGCTCGCACTGCTACCACCAGCAATCGTGAGGTGCATAAAGCTCCTTAGAAATACAACGCTTGAAGAACAGGCAGAGATCGCTGACGAGCTGATGGAAAATCAGACTGGCACGGGCGTAATGGCCACGTACACCAACCCTAGCCATGCAGTAGCAGACCGCAAGCTCGCGGATACCATCCTTACAAGCCTGGCCAAGGACATTACCAGTATGAAACTCGCCGTGGCCGACCTCGCTACCTGCACCAAAGAGCTCACGCAGACTCTCACTCAGAACCCTCCACACCGTGCATCGCGTGGTCGCGGCCAGCAACGCTCAAACGCTAGAGAGGCATCATCGGCGCCCGCCAAGCTGTGTTTCTACCATCGCAAGCATGGAGAAAAGGCTAAGCGCTGCGTGTTACCGTGTACCTTCAAAGCCAATTCGGGAAACTGATTTCGCTGTCGACCGTTCAGGCGGCCGGCGACAGCTTTTGTACCAGCACACCGCCTTCAAAAGAACATCGCCTACACATACATGATAACACGACGAACATGAGGTTCCTCGTTGATTCAGGATCAGTAATCTCACTGGTACCGAAGACCGCCATTAATCTCCAGCTCAAACAAGATGAGCTTACATTATACGCTGCCAACGGTACTATCATACGCACCTACGGCCAGAAAGTGTTGTCACTCGATTTCAATCTCCGTCGAAGGTTTAGTTGGTCCTTCATTATAGCAGATGTCAAGTCAGCTATCATCGGCGCAGACTTCCTTGCTCACTTTGCACTGATGTTGGACTTGAGGGGGCGCCGTCTTATTGACTCAGCCACATCACTCACCACGAAGGGTCAACTATCTGAGGCCATCATACACAGCATCTCCACCATCAATCAGTCCATCTGCTCAGATGACATTGATGCCAGCTATCTAGAGCTCCTCAATCGCTTTATTGACATCACGAGACCAAATACCAGCCCTATCACTGACACGAACAGTGCAACTGCTCATCACATCGAGACCACTGGACCACCAGTATTCGAGCGTCCACGGCGTCTCACTGGCGAGAAACTAAAAATTGCTAAAGACGACTTTGACCTGTTACTACACCACGGCGTCATCCGCCCGTCCAGAAGTCAGTGGGCGAGTCCAATACACATGGTTCCCAAAAAACTTGGAGGGTGGCGCACCACCGGTGACTATAGAAAACTGAACGCTCAAACCATTCCAGATCGGTATCCGGTACCCCACTGCGATGACATCCTCCAACGCCTACACGGTTCCACCGTCTTCACCACCATCGATCTCGTTCGGGCCTACCACCAAATACCAGTCGCTCAAGCTGACATACCCAAGACTGCTGTGACCACACCATTCGGACTATACGAGTTTTTGGGCATGCCTCCAGGCCTTCGAAACGCCACGCAGACCTTCCAGCGACACATGGACAATCTTTTCCGGGGTCTGGACTTCGTGGGATGCTTTATAGACGACCTTATCATCTTCTCTCGGTCTCACAAGGAACACCTTCAGCACGTGACTGCTGTCTTCGATATTCTGCGGGCAAATCGTCTGACCATCAATCCCAAGAAGTGCCAGTTTGGAAAACCAGAGGTCAGCTACCTTGGCTACACCATCAACAAGAGCGGATACTCTCCACCAGCTGAAAGAACCCAGGCGATTGCCGACTATCCAAGACCCGAGACCATCAACGATCTTCGTCGCTTCCTCGGCGTGATAAACTATTATCGCAGGTCCATCCCGGAAGCAGCCAAAACGCAAGGACCGCTCACCGACCTCCTCAAAAACGCAAAAAAAAATGACAAGCGCAAGATCCCCTGGACACCAGCTATTGAGGAAGCATGGGTAAACTGCAAACAAAGTATTGTCCACGCCACACGCATGGCCTTCCTCATACCAACCGCCCAACTCTCGCTAAGAACAGATGCATCAGATACGGCGATTGGGGGTGCACTCGAACAATTTCAAGGGAGAACCTGGCAACCACTAGCCTTCTTCTCGCGCAAACTCAGCCCAGCGGAGACCAGGTACAGCACTTATGACCGCGAACTCCTGGCTGTCTTCGCATCTATCAAATTCTTCCGACACATTCTTGAGGGGCGAAGCTTCGCAATACAAACCGATCACAAACCGCTCATATACGCATTCTCTCAACGTTCTGACAAAGCATCACCACGTCAACTCCGCCAACTCGACTACATCTCACAATTTTCAACGGAGATCGTCCACACTAAGGGATCCGAGAATGTCGTAGCTGATGCCCTGTCGAGAATCAACACCATCAACATGCCAACCAGACTGGACGCCAAAACCATTGCTGAGGCACAACAAGATGACGACGAACTGGCCACTCTGCAACATAACACATCGCTTAAGCTTCATCTGCTCAACATTGAAGGCCAAAACATATATTGCGACATCACGAACAACGCGGTACGACCGTATATTCCAGCCTCCATAAAGCGGGAGGCCTTCAATACAATCCACGGTCTTTCACACCCCAGCGGCAGATCCACGGCAAAGCAACTAAGGGAACGGTTCGTCTGGCCGGGCGTCAGGAAAGATGCACTCTTGTGGGCCAGGCAATGCATTCCATGCCAACGATCAAAAGTATATCGCCATAATCGCACCACACCGAGTCACATTGACATACCAGATAATCGCTTCGAACATATTCACCTGGACCTCATAGAGCTGCCAAAAATTGGAGATTTACGCTACTGTCTGACAATCATTGACAGATTCAGCAGATGGCCAGTCGCTATTCCACTCAAAACGATCACAGCCGACACTATAGCATCAGCATTTTATTCACAATGGGTTTGTCAATTTGGCACTCCGCTCACGATCACCACGGACAGAGGACTACAATTTGAATCAGCCCTCTTCACATCACTCTCTCGGCTACTGGGGATCAAACGCATCAGGACGACGCCGTACCACCCCCAGTCCAACGGCATGGTAGAGCGATGGCACCGTACACTCAAGGCTGCCCTCATGTGTAACGCCCAAACACCCTGGCCAGAGCTCTTACCAACCGTATTACTTGGACTTCGTGCTACGTACAAACCGGATATGAAAGCCTCTCCTGCTGAGATGCTCTTTGGGACACCTCTACGCCTACCTGGAGAATTCTTTGTTTCTGAAAGCACCCCTGCAGACCCTCAGGCATTCATAAGAGAATTCCGGCAACATATTCGAGAGGTCAGGCCAACCCCAACAGCTCATCACAGCAAACCAAAAATGTTCATCCTAAAAGACCTCGACACGTGCACCCACGTTTTCAAACGCGTAGACTCCATCAAAAAACCATTGGAGCAACCATACACAGGGCCACATGAGGTTGTAAGACGGATCGATGACAAAGTCTACGTAGTCAAAATTAATGGAGCAGACAAAACAGTTTCCACTGACATGTTGAAGCCCGCCTACATTGATGTCACCGACGATCAGCAATTACCTAGACAAACACAGATGCCAGACAACGCCAACCAAGAAGCAAACATAAAAAAGTCGTGCCATGTCCCTGCGGACCAAGACACTGGGAGGGGAGTGGATGTGGCAACCTCGCCATCTCAAACTTCAAATACACCACAAACGCTTA